AAAAAAAAAAAAAAAAAAATACGTGATCAAAACTGAGTACATAATTTATAGGGCACAGAAATAAATGAAAATGTGGGACCCCTTGTTCACACTTAAGGATTTTATGATGACAGACGAGCATGAAGCCAAGCACAAAGCCCTTCTGAACACGGACAACATACAACTGCACAGTGGCACCCTCCAGAGCCAGCCCTGCCTTTAATAGCTGTCGGTGTAAAGTCAAACTTTGGTTTATACGGGCGGCTTTCAGACAATTGCATGAATGCATAAATTACCAAAGAGAAATGTAATGGTCAAGTCTTCGGTGTGATTCCAGGACTGTGAATAGGACAGACGTTTCTAAGAGCAGTAAGGGGACAGGTCCCTTCTGACATTACCCCTGTGTGTCTCTAGGTCCTCAGCCCATTCTCCCTTCAGTTCCTAAAGAAAACAGTAGGATAGAATTATATCCTATGAATACAAGCCGTGTAATTAACAGGAGGGTGTGATTTGGGGGAGCTGCGACCTAGGCATTCTTCCTTTCCTAGATTCTAGATGAACACCTGAGGTGCAGAGAGCTCATGATGGAAGAGGCAGCTCTTTATTGCTCTACTCCTTCTCTCACAAGACCCTGGTTTATCTGACAAGACAAAGAAGGCTTACGGGGGTTTGCAGATACCTTGGTATCATCTCAGTGCCAATAGCACCCCGTGAGGTTGGCAGTGTGAGCCTCAGCTTATACACAAGGAAACAGAACTTAAGAAAGGTTATGTCATCCCTCAAGGTCTTACAGTAGCAAATGGCAAAGCCAAGACTAAAATCTGGTCTTCTGATCATGAGTGCAGTCATGTTTCATGTTTTCTCTGTTGTGTACTTGGAAACCCAGCCAGTTCCCCTACATATGCCATTCTTTCTCAACCTAACCATGTCGGTTTGATTCTTTTCCAAAAAACTGATTGACAGATGTTGCATTTTCCAGGGGAAAAGTGAATCTCCACCATACTCTTAACACAGTGGTTCTCAATCTTCCTAATGCCACAATGTATTTTCATTGTTACAAAGGGGTCTCCACCCACAGGTTGAGAACCGCTGCTCTAACAAGTAAAAGCATTCTTGCTGAAAGGACTCAATTCCTTATGGACCCTCAATTCCAGAAGCATATCTAGATAATGTTGGGGTTTATTTGAGTAGAGTGGGAAGTAACTGAGGAAGTGGATGAGAAAGCTATTAGCAGCCGAAATCCTCCCAGAGATAACCCCAACTTCTGCAGTTGGCCTTGCCTAATATAGTCCCCAGGCATGGGCATTAAGAACCAAGAAATCCCCAGAGCTAAACACAAGAGAATGAGACCTTAGGCCAGGTGCAGTGGCTCACACCTGCAATCCTAGCACTCTGAGAGGCTGAGGCAGGTGGATCACCTAAGCTCAGGAGTTCGACACCAACCTGAACAAGAGTGAGACCCATCTCTAAAATCTAGCTGGGAATTGTGGTGGGCACCTATAGTCCCAGCTACTTGGGAGACTGAGGCAAGAGAATCATTTGAGCCCAGGAGTTTGAGGTTGCTGTGAACTGTGACACCATGGCACTCTACCAAGGGCAACAAAGTGAGACTCTTTCTCAAAAAAAAAAAAAGAAAAAGAAAAGAAAGGGCTTGCCTCCTTAGCATAGTGGTTATGGTGCCAGCCACATACACTTAGCCTGGCGGGTTCAAACCCTGCCGAGGCCAACTGCAACAAAAATAATAATAAATAAATTGGCTCAATTCCTGTAGCACAATGGAACTGCAACAACAAAAAATAGCTGGGCATTGAGGCAGGCACCTGTAGTCCCGGCTACTTGGGAGGCTGAAGCAAGAGAATCACTAAAGCCCAAGAGTTTAAGGTTGCCGTGAACTGTGATGCTACAGCACTCTATTGAAGGTGACATAATGAAACTCTGTCTCAAAAAATAAAATAAAATAATAAAAAAAGAAAGAAAATGAGACCTAGGTATTAGTCCAGGACAATTCAGATATGATATCTTCTACTTGGGAAAGGTTTCCTCTCCCATGTTACTGTGAAATGTTACAACTTCGTTTCATGCATATGGCTGGTGTGATCTGGTTATTTATTTTAGAAATAGATATGATTTCCTTTTTTTAATGTGGTGGTAATAAAAAATAGAATGATGGGTAGTGAGTGTTTCTTGGACCCGTGGGGGAGAGGGGTGAGGGTCTGTGCCCTACCTTCACTCCTCATTGCCATGCCTTGGAAAATTGAGGAAATCAAGGACTTTCTGCTTACAGCCAGGCGAAAGGATGCCCAGTCTGTCAAGATCAACAAAAACAAGGATAATGTAAAGTTTAAAGTTCGATGCAGCAGATGCCTTTATACCTTGGTCATCACAAACAAAGAGAAGGCAGAGAAACTGAAGCAGTCTCTGCCCCCTGGTTTGGCAGTGAAGGAGCTGAAATGAAGCAGATATGCTGATTTCAATTGTATTAAATTTTAAAAATTCAAAAAAAAATAGAATGATGGTTTAGCTAAACAATGAGGGTTTATTCTCAGTATAGGAAGTAAAATAATCTAGATTAGGAAGATTAAGAAGGAATTGCTATGTACAGAGGTCTCCAGACTTTAGTCACATGATTTCATCAGTAAATAGTATGAGCACTTTGCCTCCTACGTACACACTTACTTGTTTACAAAGTAAATGTGCTTCTACTACTGTACTCTAAAATATATTTGACTCATGCCTTTAATCCCAGCACTCTGGGAGGCCAAGGCCGGTGCATGGCCTGAGCTCACGAGTTCAAGACCACCCTGAGCCATAGCAAGACCCCATCTCTAAAAAATAGCCAGGCATTGTGGTGGGTACCTGTAGTCCCAGCTACTTGGGAGACTGAGGCAAGAGAATTACTTAAGCCCAAGAGATTGAGGTTGCTGTGAGCTGTGATGCCAGGGCACTCTACCAAGGGCAACAAAGTGAGACTCTGTCTCAAAAAATAAATAAATAAAAACAACAATAATAAAATGTGTTTCATGAAAGATACATAAAAATCAAATGTATGAAGAATAAGAATAAATAGCAATAATATTCTTTTTGCCTCCCAATAAATTGTCTTGCTTTACTTCACTTTAGAAAACACTGCTGGGTGGCACATGTAGCTCAGTGGGTAGCACGCCAGCCCCATATACTGAGGGTGACCAAACTGCAACAAAAAATAGCCAGGTATTGTGGTAGGTGCCTGTAGTCCCAGCTACCTGGGAGGCTGAGGCAAGACAGTCACCTAAGCCCAAGAGCTGGAGGTTGCTGGGAGCTGTGACGCCACTGCACTGTACCAGGGATGACCAAATGAAACTCTGTCTCTAAAAAAAAAGAAAGAAAACACTGCTGTTCTAAAGAATATACCCCAGCTAGCTGGAACATTTGTATTTTGAATGTTTCCATTAAAAATTGAATTGTTGGCTCGGCACCTATAGCTCAACCGGCTAAGGCGCCAGCCACGTACACCTAAGGTGGCAGGTTCAAATCCCCAGCCCAGACCTGCCAAACAACAATGACGGCTGCAACCAAAAAATAGCCGGGCGTTGTGGCGGGCGCCTGTGGTCCCAGCTACTTGGGAGGCAGAGGCAGGAGACTCGCTTGAGCCCAGGAGTTGGAGGTTGCTGTGAGCTGTAATGCCATAGCACTCTACCCAGGGGGACAGCTTGAGGCTCTGTCTCAAAAAAAAAAAAAAAATTGAATTGTTGGTGGCGCCCATAGTTCAATTGGCAGGGTGCCGGCCACATACACCTAGAGTGGTAGGTTTGAAGCTGGCCTAGGCCTGCTAAGCAACAGTAACAACTACAACCAAAAAATAGCCAGGCACTGTAGCAGGCGCCTATAGTCCCTGCTACTTGGGAGGCTAAGGCAAGAGAATCACTTAAGCCCAAGAGTTTGAGGTTGCTGTGAGCTGTGATGCCACAACACTCTACTCAGGATGACAGCTTAAGACTCTGTCTCAAAAAAAAAAAAAATTGAATTGTTAATATATATCTGATATTAACTTAATGATTTTCTTTTGCATATAATCTTTATCAATTCTAAAAACTCATTCCTTTCATCTAGGTCAGTGATTCTTTTTTTTTTTTGGAGACACTATATTGCCCTCGGTAGAGTGCCCTGGCATCACAGCTCACAGCAACCTCAACCCCTTGGGCTTAAGTGATTCTCTTTCCTCAGCCTCCCCAGTGGCTGGGACTACAGGCGCCTGCCACAGCACCTGGCTATTTGGTTGTACTTGCCATTGTTGTTTGGCAGACCCAGGCTGAGTTGGAACCCTCCAGCTCCCGTGTATATGGCTGGCTCCCTAGCTTCTGAGCCTCAGGCGCCAAGCTGAAGTCATCGATTCTTAAAGTCCAACCATTTCACCATCCCTTGAGAACTTGTTAAAAGTGCAAATTTGTGGGCTCTACCTCAGAGCTACAAAATCAGAAATTCCTGGAGATGGAGCTCAGCAGCTTGTGTTTTAACTAGCTTGTTTTTTTGTTTGTTTGTTTTTTGTAGTTTTTGGCCGGGGCTGAGTCTGAACCCACCACCTCCAGTATATGGGCCCAGCACCCTACTCCTTTGAGCCACAGGCACTGCCCTTACCTTGTGTTTTTAACCAGATGATTTTGATGGGCACTAAAGTTTAAGAACCTCCCTGTATGGCCTGACGCAGCACGTACCTGTAGTCCCAGCTCCTCAGAAGGCTGAGGTGGGAGGATTGCTTGAGTCCAGGAGTTTAAGTCCAGCTTGGGCAATATAACAAGACCTTTTAGGGGGAAAAAAAAAAAGAGTTTGTCAACAAAGTATCCTAGTATGTTTTTTCAATGTGCAAAACGTCAAATTTGAACTTTAATGATGTTCTTTACAATTTCAGGATTTACTTCAGATGCAGTATGAAGGCGTAGCTGTAATGAAAATGTTTGACAAGGTGAAAGTGAACGTAAACCTTCTCATATACCTGCTGAACAAGAAATTCTATGGAAAGTAAAGTGCCTGTGGAAATTTCACAAATTCTGTATCATCTGGATTGGAAAATGAATTTGTTTAGTATTTTTGTTTTTAAACATGATTGAAATCACTGCTTACAAATGTGTGATTTTTTTTTTTTAAGGACCAAAACTGTTCTCAAAAATGTACCCACGTGCCTTTTTTGATAATTTGATACTAAAATAGAATGATATGAAGAAAGAATTAATGTAAACCCATCCATGTTGTACTGTCATGTAGGTACTCTGATTTAAAACTTTGGACATCCTGTGATCTCTTTTAAAGGAGGGGGACATTTAGCTAACTGGGGACAAACATAAACCTATTTTCTTACAAAAAATTTTACATGTCCCACTTGAATGATGTAATTCTTCGTAGATTTTTTTATCGGTGGATAAATGGAAACCTAATTATTTGTAATGAATTACTTAGACAGTTCTAAGGCTTGTCTTCTTTTAAAGAAAACTTTTTTGTGCAATTCCAAATGAAGTTTTTATAAGTAATTGAAACCGACAAGACAATAACACTTTCTGTATAAAAGGATATATTTTATGTGATTTATTCCTACTAAACAAAAGTGCACTACTGCCTCATGGAAAGACTCGTATGAAGAGCCTTTACCCTTAAGTGACTAAGGAACAACACGACGGTGATCCTAGACCCCCCATATTCCCTCTTCACAACGTATTTGAAAACTTCAATTGTGCCTCTCAATTTTTTGTAATGCTATAAAATCAGTATCTAGATGGTTTTTAAATGTATTCTTTGGAAATTGTTTTATGTAAAATAAATGTTACTTAATTACATTTATTTGACTTTTATCATATCATTTAGGGGGTAAGAGAAGATTCTTGGTGGGCCTTTTCAGGAAAACAAGTAATATACTTATGCTTTAAGGAAAAAATACAAAACCCCTGTGGCTAAAACAAGATAGAAATTTCTTTCTCTCAATTTCAGCTGTTCTAAAGTGAGCAGGCCCACAAAGGAACCCAGGGATCTAGGCGGGCCAACTGGCTCTGTATTTGACACTCATTCCCAGCCAGCAGGATAGGAAAATAAGTCCGGGGCAAACATGTTAAGTTACACAGGTGACTTCTGCTTACATCCTATTGGCCAAAACTTAGTCACAGAAGCACAGTAAGCTAAATAGAGTGCCTAACTAGGCAGCCACGTGTCCAATTAAAATCTAAGGTGAAGAGGAGGTGGAAGAGGGGGTGATCTCTTAGTTTAGGCAAGCATCCTCAAACTACGGGCCACGTGCAGCCCACCTAGGACATATATCCGGCCCGCCGGGTGTTTTTGCTGCTGTTGCCTACCCTGCTTAGCAGCCGACTCACTCATCCCAGGGCCCGTGGTCTGGCCCTCCAGCGGTCTGAGGGACAGTGAACTGGCCCCCTGTTTAAAAAGTTTGAGGACCCCTGGTTTTAGGTGTCTCCACCACAATGGTAATCCAGATGTTCAGGGGGAAACCCCCTGAGGCTTTCTTCATGCATTCAGTAGGCTGTACTTTCAAACTAAGGGATTGCAAAATTCAGAGAAAGTAGGTTAGTTTATGCTCATGTGGTATAAACTTTTAAGACCAACAGAATTTGAAAAATGCAAATTTTAAAAGGTAGAATCTGCTACTTTAGCAATTATTTCTAGTAATATGTGGTTTTGACAGAGATGAACACCTCGGAACCATGTTCAGTATCTCAACAACTTGTGGGTTTCTGTGTTTTTTAATGTTAGCCTTAATATAGACTTCCACAAAAGGAGTCAAAGACATAGGTAGGTTTGAGAATAAGCCTCCCTCTCCCTGTCTCCCCTAGTACTAACATGGGAAGGTGGGAGACAGGAGCCGGGGCAATGGGAGGAGGACGCTAAGCTATTTCTTACCCCAGAAAAGACTTTCAGTGGAAATGTATAGAAAGAGCCAAAATTAAGGAGGAGACGTTTGCCTTTCCCAGCATCTCTGTAAGGTGTTTATCTTATTCCAACACTGAATGTGCCCCGGGGTTATTTGTATGGATAAAGATGTTTGCAACACACCAATGCCCTCAAGGAAAACTGAATTTTTTTTCTCTCTGTTGGCCTACAAGATAAAGTTGCTGTCAACCTATTACCTGTTGCTATTTGTTTAAGGGACACATATGCGGGGTGACCCAGAGAAGGAAGCATGTGATAAAAAAAAAAAAGGAACAAGAGGCCAGTGGGTCTGCAGGTGCAGCAGACCACTCAGGACGGCTGAACCATCCCTCAAGGGGGGGTACTGTAAACTGTTAGCTTTTCTTACTCATTGAAAACTTTTTTCTTTTCTGCTTTTAAAACACTGAGCAATTGGAACTCTAACTTGATTTTTGCAAAGCTGGCTCCTGGATTTTATGGATGTTCAATCATATTTTCACTATTATAAAAGTAGTCTTTCGAAGGCTAAAAAGCCCGTGTTCCCCTGAACTCCACTTGGCACCTTAAAAAGGCAAAAAGCACTTATGCAACATTCTCACTGTCCTCAAAGGATCTGCTCTAGTGGTCCTCAAAAGAGGGAAAACTTTACTCCGGAAGTGGTGAAGAAAGCAAGCCACTTGGTGTGATCCCTGTATAACATGGAAAGTCAGAACTATAATGCGTACGTTGGTGTGTATGTGTGGTTGTACACTAATTGAAGATGCTACTCAGAATATCAGGTTTATGACTTAGACTGTGGTGAGGTAGGGATTTGTGGTATTCCTCACACATTCCCAGAGGCAAACCACAGAACTCCGAATGGGGAAAGTGTCTATATATTTTGAAATTTTCTGGGGAGCATTAAATGTTCTCAGTACTGGTTAGCTTTTGAAAAATCTATTGCCTTTGTCACCGAAACCAAAACTTGGTAACAGTTTACAATAGAGTCTTCTAAGTTCCAGAGGACGGAAACTGTGTTTCAGTAACTCCTAAATTCAGAGCCTGGCAAGTGCCTTGTAAATGGAGGCACAGACATGGGTTCTAGAAACTTGTTGAAAAGACCTTGGCTGGGTGCCATAGCTCAGTGGTTAGGTTGCCAGCCACATGCTTCAGGGCTGGTGGGTTTGAACCTCGTGCCTGTAGGCAAGAGAATCACTTGAGCCCAAGAGTTTGAGGTTGCTGTGAGCTATTATGACAAAGTGAGATGCTGTCTGAATTTTAAAAAAGGCTTGGTGCCTGTAGCTCAGCGGGAAGGCGCCAGTCACATACACCGGAACTGGCGGGTTCGAATCCAGCCCTGGCCTGCCAAGCAACAATTACAACTACAACAAAAAAAAATAGTTGGGTGTTGTGCTGGGCAGCCTGTAGTCCCAGCTACTTGGAAGGCTGAGGCAAGAGAATCGCTCAAGCCCAAAGAATTTGAGGTTGCTGTGAGCTGTGCCACTACAGCACTCTACCCAGGGCGACAGCTTGAGACTTTGTCTCAAAAAAAAAGGCAGAGAGACCCCACTGCCCATCAGGAGCCTGGTATCAGTGTTTTACAGCCTTTTTTTAATCTCATGGCACATGTGTAAATATAGTTAAACTTCCACAGCACACTTAAATTATGTTGATCAAAAAAAAAAGTTAAAAAAAAAAAAAGAAGGCTCGGCGCCTGTGGCTCAAG